GAGGCGCCGGGAGGGGGAAAAGAGAAAACCCCCGGGGGGGGGGGGCAGATGGAAGATACAGTAATGTCACTGGAAGAGCCCAGGTGGGAGGGGAGGGTAGCAGGGCTGGGGGTCACAGGCAGGGGATATGGTACCATTGCTGGGGGGGGGTGCCGTGGGGGATACTGTAACATTCAGGAGCTGCAGCACCCAGGCGGGGGTTGGAGTATGTGTCCACCACCCCACACTGCCCCTGCTCCCAGCAACTCACCTGCAGCACGTTGTTCCTGACAGCTGTGTGGTAACAGTCTATCACCGTTGTCTGGTTGTGGGGGTTGCAGGATTTATCCCACTCTGGCCCAAAGGGGGAGACTAGAGCACAGAGATGGCCAGAAGCAGCTCAGAGGCTGGGCTGAGCCACCGTCTCCAGCTGCCAGAGCGGCCCAGGCCAGCCCAAGGACAAGCCGGCCACAGAACTAGCCCCTTACACATAAAACTCGGAGGTACCTGACCTGTGACCTGCTCAGTGCCGTGGGGTAGTTACACTCTGCTGAGCGCAGGAAGCTGGGGCTAGAACCCAGGAGTCCTGGCTCCCAGCGCTGCCTGCTCTAACCACTAGATGCCACTTCCCATCCAGAGCAAGGAAGAGCATCCTGGTTCCCAGCCTAACCCACAAGGCCCCACTCGCCTTCTAGAGCCATGGAAAGAACCCAGGAGTCCTGGCTCCCCGTACCCCCTACATATCCCACTAGACCTCGCTCCTCTCCCAGAGCTGGGGCCAGAACCCAGGGCGTCCCGGCTCCCAGGCTGGGGCCCTGCCACATCTTGCCAGGCGGCGCTTCCCGAGGTCCCTGCCAGCACGGTTCCTTCTGGGTTTCTACCTTGGAATTGTACCTGGAGGTTGAACTCATCCCAGGGCTCCTGCAGGGTGGGGAAGCAGGAGGACTTGCTGAGCACCAGCCGGCAGTGCTGGGCGGAGGCCACCCGGCTCAGGGCCTCCTGCAGGGACCACAGGAATCTCTGCTTCAGCGCCTCCTGGCACAGCCGGCTCCGGAAGACGAGCAGGGCCTCCAGGCCGCCGCGCACGTGGTAGGCTGCGGAGGGAGAGCGCGCGGCGTGGGACTCACCACTGGCTCCCGCCGGACACGACCTTCCCATCGCTCCCCACTGCCCGCCTGCACAGACGGGAAGGGGCGTTGCAGGAGGGCCCCGCGTCTCCTACAGTCTCCCCACCAGACAGACACGAGCCCCACTCCAGAGCTGGGGTGAGGGACCCTGCCCCCATCCCGCCCCACATGCTTCCTCCCTCATTGAGCTGACCATGTCCCCCATTCATGGAGCTGATAAGGGCCCCTACTCTCCATGGGGTTCAGTCCCCCCAGGGCCCATCCTGCCCTTCCCCCTCCCCCTCCATGGGGCTCAGTCCCCCCAGGGCCCAGCCTGCCCCTCCCCCTCCATGGGGCTCAGTCCAATAAGGGGATTTGTGGAGCATGTCCGGAAGCTCCAAAATGCTGTTTCTTTGACCCCATATTTCTCATTCTCTAGCCATACACATTAGGGGTATGTCTACACTACCCCGCTAGTTCGAACTAGTGGGGTAATGTAGGCATACCGCACTTGCAAATGAAGCCCGGGATTTGAATTTCCCGGGCTTCATTTGCATAAGCGGGGCGCCACCATTTTTAAAACCCCGCTAGTTCGAACCCCGCCCCCTCCATGGGGCTTAGTTCCCCCAGGGCCCATCCTGCCCCTGCCCCTCGATGGGCCCACCGGGAAGCAGGCTCACCCTGGACTGTGTAGTGGAAGGTTTGCGCCCTCGGGCGTTTGTGCTCTGTATAGGAGACGGTGCAGGAGTAATTCCCACTGCTGCCCCCCTGGAAGTGCTGGAAGGTGAGGGCTCCCCGGGCATCGACCAAGAGGAGATTGGACTCTAGTGCGTGGGAGAGGGGGTCTGAGCACTAGAAAGGCTGGGCTGGGCTGCCTTAAGCCCTGACTCTATTCTGTCTGGGGTCCTCAAGCATCTCTGCCCTTCCCTTCTGGGAGAGGATTGCCAGCCCCCTCCCCCCCATAGATCCCTGGGGCAGAGCCCGAGCGATGCCCTCACCGGGTAAACATTCACAACCAAAGTGGTGTTCTGCGCTGTCCCGGCCCCACACGGGCCCCCCACTCGACAGACTGATCCGCCCTGCTCTTCCCTGAGACACTGCCGGGGGGTCACCCTGTTCTGAACTATTTCCCCCCCGACTTTGTGCTGCCTTCATCACACACCCAGAGCCAGCTCCCTGCAGACCCTGGCCTGCCAGGAGGGATGTATCAGCCTCTGGCCATCTCAGCGGCTCGCTCGCTCCGGGCAGTGTGCAGGGGAGGAACCTCACCTAGCTTGTTCCGGGCCCACCGGTAGGTGGGGTTCTCCACATGCATCTCCTTCGGGCTACAGGGCAGGGAGTACTCGGTGTCCATATGGATGAAGACAGGGACTAGGGCAGAGAGAGGGGAAAATCTGAGAAGTGCAGGCCTGGAAGGACCTCGGGGTCGTGAGCAGCAGGCAAGGCAGCGCTGCGTAATAACGAGACCGTCCCGGCAGGAGTTTCTTGTTTGCTTTTGAAGGCCTCAGCGAGGGGAAGCTTTTTCCCCCTAATGTGCAGCCCCAATAAGATGTGGGGGTCAGGGAAGGTTCATTTGGGGGTGGGAGCAGGACTCGAGCATGGAAGACAGGAGCTGCCTCAGATGGCGTTGCAGCAAGGCGGGGGGAGAGGGGGGCAGGATAGGGCCCAGGCTGGATCCACTCCTGGGCCCGGACTAATGCAGGGGAGTCACACCCATCAGGGCAGCATGGGGGGAACCCCCCAGTCCAGGGTCTGCCTCTCTTTCCCGGGCCACAGGGAAAGACCCTGCCCTGTGCCAGCCAGTGGCAGACCTGGCCAGGAGCCTTGGACCCTCTGTGGGATGAGGAACTTTGCAGAGTGGCTTCCCTTACTGGCTTGTCCTTCCTCGCTGAACCCTGCCGGTTGCTTGGGCTCTTCGCCCACTGCGCCTCCAGGCCCGTTCTCGGCGAGGGCGCCCTCCTCAGGAGAATAGTCCCCATGGCCTAGGAAGGAAGCCGAGAGACGCAGGCTGTTCACGTCTAGTCTAGGCTCAGGAACAGGCCCTGGGGTGAGGGGCAGTGAGGCCAGCAGAGCAAAGCCCACCCTTGGAGCGTACACAGCCGGATAGAGCTTTGCCATGGTCTGGGGGGGGGACTCACAAAACAGGGACGACTGTACCTGTGGGACAGCCACTGCCCCACGATGGCTATAGGCAGCAGAACGCTATCCCAGAGCTCTGCCCGAAAGGGGGTCCAGTCCCAGACCCATCAGAGGAGGGGGTTTCACATCAGCGCACCCCCATGCCACGTCAGGCTCATTGCCCGAGGGGGTCTGGCCTGCAGCCCGTCCGGCAAGAGGGGCTCAGATGGGGTCCCGTCTCAGAGCAGGGCATGCCACGTTCGGAGTGGTGCTGTGCGGCTCCTCTCTCTGGGCTCTGCTGGGCTCCTGGGACACTGCAGGGCCGGGCAGAGAGGGGCATGTGGCTGAGTTCTCAAACCTGGGGCCAGCCTGGCACCTCTGCAGGGCCCTTTGTCAGGCTGAGGCCCCAGCGTGCTGAGAACCTGGAAAGGGGAACAGTATCCCCATGATACCTGAGCCACTACAGAGCATCAGAGCCAGGATCCCCAGTGCCTCTGAGACCCAGGGGCCCCTGTGGCCCCACCGGGCCTGGGGAGCACGGTGCATCCCGAAGCCCCTCAGAGTATCTCCTTCTGGTTGCCATGGTGATGAGGGACCCCCCCCCTTTGTGATGTCACAGTCACTGCAGACACTGGGCTCCTGCCACTCAGGGCCCCCAGCCCCCATCTCTCCTTGTGGGGACCAGGGTGCCCCCAGCCTCCAGCTCTCTGTGTCTTTTTGTGGGGATCGACCCACCCCTCTCTGTGGGGATTCTGTGCGGGGACCATGCCCTAAGCCCTCTCTCCGAGGCTCACCACCCACATCTCCTTGTGGGTGCCAGCTCCCCACCCCAGTCCTCATCTCTCCCATTTCCTTCTGGGGACTAGCCCCCAACCCCTGCCTCTCTTTGAGGATCAGACCCCTATCTCTCAGTGGGGATCAGACTTCACCCCCTACCACTCAGTGGAGATCAGCCCTCAGGGCCTCGGTGGGTGAAATGAGGGTAGAATATGTCCAAAGAGATGGGGGACACATTCAGGGGAGGGGGGACGGAGACGGCACAGGACCACAGAGGGGACAGGAGCACCTGGTGAGCGCCTGAGGCCCCAGGGTACGTTATAGCCTCAGGAAACCCTCAAGCTGCTGGTGAAAGCTGGGGGAGGCGGAGGCTGCTTAGGGAGCCATTGGCAGGGCACATTATGGGAGCTGAGATCTCTGGGAATCTCAGGCCACCTGTGCAGGCCCGGCCAAAGCGTTTGCGGGTCCCAAGGCAGCGTGGCTGAGCCCCACGGCCATGGGGCTCCCAGTCAGGGCAGCGAGTGAGCGGCAGGGTGGGCGGGGCCGGGAGCTGGGCCCTGAACCCGTGGGGCCCAAGGCAACTGCCTTGCTCACCTTGCCCAAAGGCCAGGCTTGCACCTGAGCAGGACCCAGGGAAAAGCTAGAAGCTAGAAGCCAGGAAGGCCATGTTTAGACTCCCAGGGTGCGTCTACACTACAGCGCTAGTTCCCTGAGTCCCATGGTGGGAGCCCCTGAGACAGGTGTGGGGAGAAGTGACAGATGCATATACAGGGTGAGCTGGCAAAAAGGGGAGCAGAGATGAGGAAGGATGGCCCAGCGGCTAGGGAACTAACATAGGGCTCAAAAGAACTGGAGTTAAACTGTTTCTCTGTCACAAACTCCCTATATGACCTTGGGCTTATGTCTACGCTACGCAACTTTTAGCAAAAATGCTCTGTTGACAGCCCAGTTATCAATAGCCAGTGGCGTGTGTGAACACTGTTTGTCAGCACTTTTGCCGACAAAATACTTCTACCCGCAATGAGTGGGTTTTGCTTTGTTGGCAGGAGAGCACACCTTCGTGCACTTACCACAGCAAAATTCATCAAGATGGGGGGGATTAAGCACTCGTGAGCTAAAAAAGTTTTTCGAGCAAGTGCAAGGGTAGACACTGCCTAGGTGTAGTACTTTGCACTTGTAGTTGTTGAATTTCAAGGCCACTTTGAATTCTAATCCTGTACTACAAAGTGCTTGGTGTCATCTGTAAATTTTAGAAGCATACTCTCCATTCCATTGTCCAGGTTATTAATGAAAATATTTAACAGTACCAGACCCAAGATTGAGTAGGAATGTAAAATCCAGTTTAATTAGTTAACCACTTAAACAGGATCCCGCAGTTTAGGGGCCACTCCAATCTGGCTGCGCTAGAGCAGCCCACTGCTTGTGATTGCGATTATGCAAATGAAGCACGGGATGTTTCAAAATACCGCTTTTTTGAAAGAGCACCATATTGCAATTATGCAAATGAAGTACGGGATATTTAAATCCCCGCTTCATTTGCAATTTCAAAGTGCCTAATTTACATCCCTCTGCCAACAGAGAGGTGCAATCTAGACACAGCCTCTGTGCTCCAGTTCCCCGTTTGTCAGATGGAGGTGATACATAGGAGGTGGATAAATGCTTTACAGATTGTGGATACGGTGGTGATGGGGACTGGACATATGCTGCAGAGAATGGACAGAAAAATCCAGGTGGCAGATTAAAGCCAAGGCGCATCACAGACCTAAAAACCTCCTCTCCCCATAAACATGGTTGCAGTGACACAAAGTGGACACGGAAGCAATTGCATTTGGGTGACCTTGCTAAAATCTGTGCTTTTTGTCTGTAACATTTAAACCCTACGATGTCCAAATTCATTGATTTGTATCATGGCAATGGCTTGCCATCTCAGCCAAGGGTCCAGGGCCCTGGGTGCTGTAGAAACACAGAACTAAACGATGGTCCAGGCCCCAAATAGCTGATGTCATCCTTTCCCTTGACTGCCCCATATCCTCTCCTAATCCCTCACCCCCTGACACATCACACTCCCCTAAAAGCCCCACCATCCAGTCACCCCCATGCACTCTGGCCATCATTGCTGATAAATTGTAGAGCGTCTAGGGATGTGTCATGAGATAGACAGCAGGTTTAAAACAAACAAAAGGAAGTTTTTCTTCATGCAGAGCACAGTCAACCTGCGGAACTCCTTGCCAGAGGATGTTGTGAAGACCAGGACTTTAACAGGGTTCAGAAAAGAACTAGATAAATTCACAGAGGTTAGGTCCATCAATAGCTATTAGCCAGGATAGGTAGGGATAGTGCCCCTAGCCTCTGGTTGTCAGAGGCTGGAAATGGAAGACGGGAGAGGGATCACTTCATGATTCCATGTTCTGTTCATTCCCTCTGGGGCATCTGGCATTGGCCACTGTCGGCAGACAGGACACTGGGCTGGATGGACCTTTGGTCCCCACTATGGCTGTTATTATGAATAAAAGATCAGAAAACAAGCAATATTCAGAAAAGGGCAACAAAAATGATGAGGGGGTTGGACCGGCTGCCATATGAAGAGAGATTAAAAAGACGGGGACTTTTCAGCTTAGAAAAGAGGAGACCAAGGGGGGATATGACAGAGAGCTACAAAATCATGCCTGGTGTGGAGAAAGCAAATAAGGAAATGTTCCCACAGCACAAGAACTAGGGGGTTACCCAACCTTCATTCTGCCCCTCCCAAAAGACCTCGCCCTCACTCCACCTCGTCTCACCTCCACTCTGCTGCCTCCCCACAGCCACCGCCCCCCAGCCACTCTCTGATATTTGCCCTCTCTGGATATGTCTAGACTACAGGGGTTTGTCGACGGAAGTTTGGTCGACAGATACTGTCGACAAAACTTCTGTCGACATAGAGTGTCTAGACACATTCAGTTCTGTCGACAAAGCAAGCTGCTTTGTCGACATAACAGTGTGGACGCAACGGACAGTGTAGATGCAATAATGCCTTCTATCGACAGAACTCTGTCAACAAAAGGCGTTATTCCTCGTAGAATGAGGTTTACATACGTCAACAAAACTGCTGAGTTTTGTTGACGTTATGTTGACATAACGCACAGGCAGTGTGGATGCAGGTATAGTTTTGTCGACAAAAGTCCACTTTTGTCGACAAAACCCTGTAGTCTAGACACACCCTCCCAGTCTCTTCCCCAAGCTTAGTAGCACCCAGATTAGCTGATGGGTGGTGGGTGTTGGTGGGAGCGTCCAAGGAAGGGATGCCTATGCTGGAATCCTTGCCACTGGAGGTTTTTAAGAGTAGGCGAGACAAACACCTGTCAGTGAGAGCTTACGCTTACTTAGGTGGGCCTCTGGAGGTCCCTTGCAGCCTGTGATTCTAGGATCTGCATTGCATTAGATTGATCACATTTCATTTTCTGCTCATTTCTGAACAAAGCGTTCGGGAGAAAAAATACGATTTGAGATTTCTTAATGTGACCTCATTGTAAATGAGTGGCTCTCCTTGGGAGCTCTCCGAAAGCATGTTCAGTATTCACGGGGCACAGCTGGAACTTTGGGGCTTATCCTTCAGACACAGCGAAGAGGGTGAGTCCTGTTTTAAATGCAAACCTCTGCCCGAAGAACGAGGCTGCGGCTGCCTCTGTGCACAGATTCATTTTCTCTGCTCAAACTCAACGCTTGTTATTCATTTGCTTGCCTTGAAGAGGAGACGGTAGTGGCATGCGTAAACAGATTGACCCATCAGCCCTTTCTCGGTGGATTCTGCCTCCCTCTGCTGCTGGAACGCAGGGTCTCTGGGTTTCCCAGGATTTGAGGTGGCAGAGGCAAAAGCCTCTGAGGGTGGGTCTACATTGCAAAGAATGACCATGCTGGTTGGCTCGGGCTGACAGGCTCAGCCACTGTTTAATTGCAGTGTGGAGGTTTGGGCTCTGTCTACATTGCTGTGTGGGTCTCAGAACTTGGGTTGCAACACAAGCCCAGAAACTTACACGACAATTGAATAGCACAAGCCCACTCCAGGGGTCTAGCTGCAGGGCAGACACACACATGGTGACACTGAAAGCCTGGGCTACAGCAAGACCCTAACCCCCGGTCTGTCACGTCCCCAGCTAGTGCTCTAACCACTGCACCATGCTCTCCCTCTCAGAGCTCAACCTGATAGGAACGTCCTAACCTCGCGCAGCCCGCCCCTTGCCTTTAGTTTCCAGCACTGGGACAAAGGGTGTGTGGGGGTGGGGAGGTGGCTTTGCACCCTGGAAGGGCATGGGCCCAGGAGAAAGGGGGAGGGCCTCGGGCAGTCAGCCCTTAGCACCCCCAGAGTGGTGGGCTCCCCCTCAGCCTGCAGAGCTGCGTGGAGCAGTGCCCTGGCAGCAATTCAAAGGGGCCCAGAGCTCCAGCTGCCGCCGG